AATCAGTACTTTGACTGCATCTGCGAATCGTACCAATTTTTGTTTTTTATGGTGACCACTCAAAATTGTTGTTTTTAAAGCTGTTTTTAGTCCTTCTTCAGTTTGAGCACAGTTTGTTTTGCTGCTTCGCCCAGAGATCTGAGGTACATGATGAAATCAAACATCAGGCTGCTCCGGCTCTGTTTACCTCTTTCAGGAGTGCTGTGTGTGTGTGTGTTGAGAGTATTCACTCAATGGTTAAACAGTGGTCTCCTTTGGTGCTATGGTGTGAGGTGTGTTTACAGTGTGGTGTGTGTGTGGTGTGTGTGTGTGTGTGCGCATTGTTCTACCTACCTAGGGGGACTATGATATAGAGACAACAACACGTGGTTAACTCAGTGTCTGTGTCTGTGTGTGCGTACATGCCTGCGTTTGTGTGTGTTAATGCAGTGCAGCACAGGGTGGGTGCAAGCAGAGGTCACAGGAGTGTGTGTGTAGCAGACAGTTTTAGAAGTGGAACAGAAGAGGAGGGCCCAGGAAGACAGACTAACTACACAAATAGTGGGTAAAACCTCCAACACACACATGCAGACGCGACAGAAAACACTTGACTCCTACTTTCACTCTGACTGTGTTCCCCTCGAGTCTGAAGAGGAGTTCTTTATTTCCCACAGTTTGACAAGATGAGAGGCAGTGGTTAGATATCTATAGGCTGTTGTAAAGGCTGCACTGCTGCTGAACACAGTCTGACCTTTCTAAGTGAATAATAATTGCTGTTATTCTATTCTGACTTGGCACAGAAAGTGTTTTGATGCATGGATATCTCATGTTGCAGACGGTAAAGGACTGAACATGGCTGAAAATACAGGGGATGTTTTGGGGTGTTGTGAGTAGTATCATATAATGAAAAGGCAACCAACATAAAAAAAAAACTGCTTATAGATAACGTGTGGCAACCTTCACATGACAAAGTTACCACACTTGGATAAGAAATGCAACAGCAGACCCTCGGCTTGAACTTAGAGTGTGTGAGGTCTGTTTAGAAGTGTGCGTGTGTGGGTGAGTGTGCGTGCCTGCATGTGTGTGTGTGGTTGTCTGTGTGTGTCTGTGTGCACACTCGCAACACAGTGCATCCAGCGACCTCATCAACCCTATCCTGTCAGCATTACTGACACAAGATCCCCCTAGCAGAAATAATCCAGGCCCAAGGGGAATCCACTGGGATGTAGGGACTTCCGTGTGTATGTGTGTGTGTGTTTACGTGGGTATCATCACTCTAAATTTGGAGCCCATTTCCTCCCAGGTGCTGAGGTCCTGACTGGGGCATTGAGGACATGATATTCAGTCTGTGTGTGTCTGTGTGTTTATATGTGCCATATTCAACTCTCATGTCCTGCCTGTCAACAGTATAATCAAATCAGGCTGTTCATCTTGGTTTTGATGCATCTCTCATATTACGTAAAATATTGATGTGTTTAAATCTTTATCAAATCATATTATACCTCCATTGCAGTGTATTTTGCTTAGTATTGAATACTTCATTAGGTTTCATCAAATGGGTTTAATATTAGCCTGCTGTGTCAGTAAACAGACTAATTTTGCTCCCTTTAGTGTTGAGCTACTGTATGCAATATGTTTACAGTGTATTTTCCCATGTTTTTTTAAATCAAACATTAGGTTAAGTAGGGCTTTGCTCAAGTCTGCTGTCGTGTATATTGTTATATGTACATTAGACCACTCAATATGTAACTGTTCCAACCTTAACCAGCTCCATTTAGCTAGTGCAGTCTGCACTGTAAAACCTGAAAAGTTAAAGGTCCAGTGCAGTCAAAATTCTGTTTTTCCTGTGTTTTATATCATATTGTACAACAGCTGATGAAACTTACACTGTAAAAGTGTGAAATAATTTGATCAATGCTATTTTCTGTTAGTTGCTGGTTGAAAATACAATATTCACAGACCTTCAAATCAGCAGGTTTGCATGGGCAGGAGTTTTGACTTTCCATGGTGACATCACCATGCGGTAAATTGGTTAATAGACCAATAACAAAGAGAGTTCCAAACCTCTCTGCCAATAACAGCTAGTTTTCAGTTTTCCCCTCCCTACTCAGACAACTCCCAGACAGTCCTAGGAAAATTATTGCTTGAGAAGTAGTTTTTGGCTAAAACTATTTTCTACCCACTTGAATGGAAATCTATTACAGTAAGGTATTTAAACGTACACACCAGTAGAAATCCACTTTTTTGAGCTGAAAGACGATGGCCAGAGCTATCTATCTATCTATCTATCTATATATCTATCTATCTATCTATCTATCTATCTATCTATCTATCTATCTATCTATCTATCTATCTATCTATCTATCTATCTATCTATCTATCTATCTATCTATCTATCTATCTATCTATCTATCTATCTATCTATCTATCTATCTATCTATCTATCTATCTATCTATCTATCTATCTATCTATCTATCTATCTATCTATCTATCTATCTATCTATCTATCTATCTATCTATCTATCTATCTATCTATCTATCTATCTATCTATCTATCTATCTATCTATCTATCTATCTATCTATCTATCTATCTATCTATCTATCTATCTATCTATCTATCTATCTATCTATCTATCGATCTATCGATTGATCCATCATCTCTATCTATCCCTCTATCCGTCTGTCTGTCTCTCGCTGTGTGTGTGTGTGTGTGTGTGTGTGTGTGTGTGTGTATGGGTTGGTTGGTTGGTTCTTCTATCCTTGTTTGTAGCTTTGTCCACGTTCATGTGTCTCACTTCTGCATTTGTTTGTCTATCTGTTTTTAGCTTATTACGTTTGTCTGTCTGCCCATATGTACAATGCCCCACTGTGCGTGTAGGGTTTCTGGTTGCAACATCAAAGACCGGGGTTTGCATGAGTTTCCCTCCCGAGGTCTCCATCCTCATGTTGACCATCAGTGGATAACTTTCCTCATCTTGGAAGAGTCGCAAGAAAATGCGCTTCAGTCTGCAATGCGCATTTCACCCAGGAGTCCTTTTCAAATTACTTGGACTTTCAAATGAGGCAAACTTTGACTCAATGAAAATGTTGTTCCGACCATCTACCCGGACAACGAGACTGTAAGTAAAGAAAGCTTCTCAGGTAGCTAGTTAGCTGATCAAATGTAAATTCTAAACTTGCTTCTTCTAGTTAGCTACATCATTACAAGAAATGATTATGCAAGTAACTAGCTAGTTAGTTACCTAACGACATTAGCTAGTTGACTAGCTAGCTGACTGCTGACTAGCTAGCTGTGATAAATGTATGCTATCAAAACATCTGAATTAAGTGAGTTCAGTTCAAGTTAGCTAGCTAGCTACCAACTATTTGGTTTAGGGCAAAACATATCCAAAACTGTACAATGTACATATATTTACAGGTTTCTAGAACAAGAGAGATCGGCTGCCAGACAGACCCGCCGCAGGCTTGTGATTTATCTGCGCGAGCATCCCCACAAAGGAGGAGCAAGGGTGAGTTTCTGACACTCAAGTAGAAACTACAGTTGTGCTCATAACAACACATCAACTAGAATAATTAGCTAGTTGGCTTGGCTATTTCCTTTGCCTCTCCCGACCTACTCAAATGTAATGTTACCTCATGTTACTGTTGTTACTGACATACTTGACATTCAGATTACCTCAAATACAGGCATACTGTGTAAATTCGCAGCTCAATTGAAAAACAATATCAACACAAATCGCTATCTGAGGTAGGGTTCAGTGGAGCTGAGGCTGGGTTAGGAGAGTGTGAGCGGAACAGGCTGCACTCGCGTAGGGAAGGTCTTTGGGGAAGACAGTTTGACTGGGTTTGCCAATGGGAATGAGATAATTAACTGCCTAATTTCTCTAGCCTACAGTTCACCAGATTATCAAACCCGTCATTTTGCCTGTTTATCATGCAAAAAAGTAGCATGTGGATCACAAGCTGTGATTAGCGTATCACTGAGACACAAAACAATCTATTGTCTTTCTGCATAATTTACAGCCACCCAGTTCCAGCCAAAATGCAAGATCGTCTATTGCAATACAGCAACACTGGTGTACATGCCTGAAACCTTAGCTCCTTGCATTCCAGTAAAAAGGCCAAGAGCGGACTATTCAAATAAAATAAAATAAAATGTTATTGGTCACATACATGTGTTTAGCAGATGTAATTGCGGGTGTAGTGAAATGCTTGTGCTTCTAGCTCCGAGAGTGCAGTAATATCTAACAATTTCACAACATATACCCAATACACACACATCTAAGTAAGGAATGAATTAAAAATATATACACTACTGTTCAAAAGTTTGGGGTCACACATTTTTGAAAACTGTTGTGCTGATTAAAGAAGAAATACAACTGGCCTTCTTGAGACTAGTTGAGTATCTGGAGCATCAGCAATTGTGGGTTCAATTACTGGCTCAAAAGGTCCAGAAACAAATAACTTTCTTCTGAAACTCATCAGTCTATTCTTGTTCTGAGAACTGAAGGCTATTCCATGCGAGAAATTGCCAAGAAACGGAAGATCTCGTACAACGCTGTGTACTTCTCCCTTCACAGAACAGCGCAAACTGGCTCTAACCAGAATAGAAAGAGGAGTGGGAGGCCCCGGTGCACAACTGAGCAAGAGGACAAATACATTAGAGTGTCTAGTTTGAGAAACAGACGCCTCACAGGTCCTCAACTTGCAGCTTAATTAAATAGTACCCGCAAAACACCAGTCTCAACGTTAACAGTGAAGAGGCGACTCTGGGATACTGACCTTCTAGGCAGAGTTGCAAAGAAAAAGCCATATCTCTGACTGGCCAATAAAAAGAAAAGATTAAGATAGGCAGTCTAAGATGACACTATAGTGAGCTTGTAATGACAATTTATGGGTTGTTGTACTGACCCATTTGATCAGTGAACTGCATTGCTGTGCCAAAATACTACATGTAGACTAACGTAGACAGTGGAGAAAGTGTACCTCATACCGGCAACTTTTTTATCACTATTGCAGAGTCCCTGACACACCTGTTCACATGGTGAAGAAGTACATTGTGTACAAATATTGTCTGCTGCAGCTTTTCCGCTGTTGTCCGGTTTGCACCAGAACATGGAACATCACAAAGCGGTTCAAAGGCACCCTGATTTCCACTGTCCAGATATGGCCTCACTGTGACCACATCAAGACATGGAAGAGTCAGCAGTATGTGTCCGACACCCCTGCAGGCAACCTCCACCTAACTGCAGCTATTGCTTTCACAGGCTCTTCTATTGCTCAGACAAACAAGGTAAAGCAATATATGTTGTAGTGCCACCTAATACCTTTCATGTAAGTACATAATGCTGAACAGCTCTTTTATGTGCTTAATTTCTGTTTCAGATCCTGAATGCACTAAAAGTGCAGATCATATCTGAGTCGACCTTTTACAGCCATCAGAAAACGGTCCAGCTTCCAACCATATACTGGCAGTGGAAGTCAGAGCAGAGAGTCATCCAGCAGTATGTCAGGGAACCTGTGGATCTTGGAGGGGATATGACAGCAGACTTGCCTGGCCACTGTGCAAAATGTGGTTCGTAAAATGTATTTGCATGCTCGTAAAATGTATTTGTGGAGAAAGGTACACATGCCTGCATGTCCTACGCATATTTGACCATACGCACACATATACAAATGTCCACAATTCTCTTGTGTTGGACGGACATTGATCTCAAACACTAACATCTAACGGGGTCCTACACCATGGTCAACTTCAACATTAACAGAGTGCTTGATGTACAACTTGTAAAGGTGAGCTTTTCATCCGTGGAGTACCTTTTTACATTTTACATTTTAGTCATTTAGCAGACGCTCTTATCCAGAGCGACTTTTCAGTGCCATGTTGGTAATGGCAATCCTGAATCCTGATTTGGGAGCCTCTGTGCCCAGCCTAACAAAGATTGAGGGAAACATTGCTAATGATACTGTTAATCTCTTCCACAGAGCAACGAAGTTGGCAATAGTCTGAGAATGGAGAAGGAGGGACTGCTGAGGAGCATCGTGTCAGATGTCAGCATCGGCTCCATTATCACAGATCAACACATCTCAATCCAGTAGTACCTGAGGGAGGAGATGCCTGACATTAAGCACTACTACGATGGGTAGCATGTGGCTAAATATATGTAGTTGTTCAATTTTCAATTTTCAGAAAGTGTGGGTATGACGGGGGGACTGCACAGGCAACAAGTATGTGTAATAATCTGTCTGTTATTTTGCATCTATCCAACTGTGTGGAAAAAACGTGATGCCCTTGGGAAGGAGAGAGACTGTGAGACGGTTAGGGGCTGGCGAAGGTCAATGTGAATGTTAAACATACTTGTGATGTTCACTCACATGTCTGACATGTTGTCTTACAGACTTCTCCTTGCAGCCATTCACTACAACGAGAATGCAGACAGGCCTCAGGCAACCACTGCAGCCGGAGAACCCAGGTTCATGATTCTGTTCCCTAAGTGGAAGAAAGGAGACTACTCCACCAAAATTTTGAAATCTCATCCTATGTATGGTAAGTTATTCCCCCCCATTGCTTTGCTGTAGCAATAGTAATTACTCCAATTTTATAACTGCCTGTATATGTAATACATTTTTCTTAGCTAAGTCCACAAACTCCTTGGCGCTACTGTTCCAGGATGTTGTGTGAGATTCAGGGCCATACCAACAGCTGCTGGAAAGCGTGACTATCATAGCCCCCCTCTGCATTGAATACGACCGACCGGAGAAGAGTGACGCCGTGGCCAAACACCAGTCTTGCTTTGCCTCTCTGGAGAATGCTTGAGTATATATCGGTCTAGAAGTTAAATATTGATCTATGATAGTTATAACAACTGTTTGTATACAGCCATGACAGACAGGTATCACTGTTCAACTGTTTACCACACTTTACATCTACCTCTGTCTTTCACGTCTGCTACAGGGACTGCTATTGCTTTAGCAATAGTGTGATGACCGGAGACTGGATGAGAAAGCAGTTGCAGCCGTCAACACAGTAAATGTGTTCTACCGCCACACACTGAAGTACTGCGCCCAGAGTGCAGTCTACACATTCATTCAAGTATAGTGAAGGTAAGTCACGGAATCCTATCACTAGGATATGTTGATGTTGGATTTGGAGCCATGACAGATGGGGCTGAATCATATCAACACATAATTTCTGCCATAAATATCCCACTGACATCACAGCATGATTTGCACAAAAGTCAAAGCACATAAATCTCAAGTTAGGATTCCACCTACACTCTTAGAAGAAAATGTGCTATCTAGAACCTAAAAGGTTTATTCGGCTGTCCCCATAGGAGAACCATTTGAAGAACCCTTGTTGATTCCAGGTAGATTCATTTTAGTTCCAAGTAGAACCGTTTCGGGTTCAATGTAGATTCCTATCCACAGAGGGTTCTACATGGAACATGGAACCCAAAATGGTTCTACATGGAACCAAAAAGGGTTTTACCTGGAACCAAAAAGGGTTCTCCTATGGGTACAGCCGAAGAACCCTTTTGGAACCCTTTTTTCTAAGAGTACAATGTACAATAAATTCAATTAACTAACTCTACTTTTTTGTCATATGTTTTACAGGACTGCTGTGCTGCGTGAGACCAGATGGACAGATGCTGAGTCAGTGGTTATATTGCAATAAAGTTTTGATTTAATTGTAGCATTTAAATAAAGTGAGGATGTTTACACAATTTGACTGACTACATTATTCTAATGGGGTAAGTTTGAAGCCAGTGTAGTCCCCGTGGGATCGGGGAATCTGGCCTGCATACGCTGGGATTATCAAGTGGACATGCGTTCCTAGGTACCCACGGCACTAATGCACAATGACTTTCTGCCAACGATTTGCCTAAGTCTCACAGAACCTGTTATCACAATTGCAAATAAAGACTTTGAAATTGAATAAAATGTATTCCAATCTACAAAAAGCCTACAGGTGTATTCTAGTCCACTATTCTTTTTCTCAGGGTTAGATTTCCCCATTGACTGGGGGTTCATTGATATTTCAGTTACTATAGGGATGTCCAGTCCCCCTATAATTAGAACCCTGCCTGTGCTCTAACATAGCATAGTTTGCATTTACCTACCAATGTATTTCAGCATCCATGTCCCCATGTTCTTGCCTGTAAGCATTGCATAGGGCATGTGGGTTGAGGCATACAGGCCAAAACCTGGGTGGTCAGTAACATGCCACCAACACATGTTCATGCACTTGGCCATCACCTGTACAGTGCATACATACACCATAGAGATCCTATTAAATTCCTAATTCCTAATTTTATGGTATACACATTCTGCTACCAGACCACCATTGCTATGTCTTTGTAGAACACTAGTTAGCCAACTAATAATGGTGTGTAGTTGCATGAACAGTGTGCTCAAAGATTATGATAACTAACCCTGTACACTATCATCTGCGTTGTGTGATGGTAGCTATATCATTGAAAACTGGTTTATTGTGTGAACACAAAATGACACAAAATATTTCATGAGCTAATAACATTAAAAAATAATATATATAAAAAACAAAATACCGCAAAGTTTCCTAAGAGCTAGTCGCGAGGCTGCCATCTCCGTGGGCGCCATCACAACAACATTTGGTTCCTAAAAGGATTACACATCATGGTAACTCTTTACTTGACACCCAGCATCATAACACGTTATGACACGGTCATAACCTGTTATAATATGGTCGTAACACTGTCATGAAACATATACAGTGCATTCGGAAAGTATTCCTTCACTTTTTCAATATTTTGTTACACTACAGCCTTATTCCAAAATTGATTAAATTATTTATTTTCCCCATCAATCTACACACAGTACCCCACAATGACGAAGCAAAACACTTTTTTTTGATATTTTTGCACATTTACTACAAATAAAAAACGGAACAATCACATTTACATAAGTATTCAGAGCCTTTACTCAGTACTTTGTTGAAGGACCTTTGGCAGCGATTACAGCCTCGAGTCTTCTTGGGTATGACGCTACAAGCTTGGCACACCTGTATTTGGGGAGTTTCTCCCATTCTTCTCTGCAGATCCTCTCAAGCTCTGTCAGGTTGGATTTGGAGCGTTGGTGCACAGCTATTTTCAGGTCTCTCCAGAGATGTTCGTTCGGGTTCAAGTCTGGGCTCTGGCTGGGCCACTCAAGGACATTCAGAGACTTGTCCCGAAGCCACTCCTGCGTTGTCTTGGCTGTGTGCTTAGGGTCGTTGTCCTGTTGGAATGTGAACCTTAGCCCCAGTCTGAGGTCCTGAGCGCTCTGGAGAAGGTTTTCATCAAGGATCTCTCTGTATCTTTCCCTCAATCCTGACTAGTCTCCCAGTCCCTGCCGCTGAAAAACATCCCCACAGCATGCTTCACCGTAGGGATGGTATTGGCCAGGTGATGAGCAGTGCCAGGTTTATTCCAGATGTGACACTTGGCATTCAAGCCAAAGATTTCAATCTTGGTTTCATCAGACCAGAGCATTTTGGTCAACTCCAAGCGGGCTGTCATGTGCCTTTTACTGAAGAGTGGCTTCCTTCTGGCCACTCTACCATAAATCAAATCAAATCACATTTTATTTGTCACATACATGTGTTTAGCAGATGTTATAGCGGGTGTAGCGAAATATTGTGCTTCTAGCTCTGACAGTTCAGTAATATCTAACTAGTAATATCTAACCATTTCACAACATATACCCAATACAGACAAAACTAGTAAGGAATGGGATTTAAGAATATATACATATATGGACAAGCAATGACAGAGCGGCATGGACTAAGATACAGTAGAATATTATAGAATAGAATGCAGTATGTACAGTGGGGGAAAAAAGGATTTAGTCAGCCACCAATTGTGCAAGTTCTCCCACTTAAAAAGATGAGAGAGGCCTGTAATTTTCATCATAGGTACACGTCAACTATGACAGACAAATTGAGAAAAAAAATCCTGAAAATCACATTGTAGGATTTTTAATGAATTTATTTGCAAATTATGGTGGAAAATAAGTATTTGGTCACCTACAAACAAGCAAGCTTTCTGGCTCTCACAGACCTGTAACTTCTTCTTTAAGAGGATCCTCTGTCCTTCACTTGTTACCTGTATAAATGGCACCTGTTTGAACTTGTTATCAGTATAAAAGACACCTGTCCACAACCTCAAACAGTCACACTCCAAACTCCACTATGGCCAAGACCAAAGAGCTGTCAAAGGACACTTTGTTTTGTTAATGTTGAGTGAGAGGTTATTTTCCTGGCACCACACTCCCAGAGCCCTCACCTCCTCCCTGTAGGCGGTCTCGTCATTGTTGGTAATCAAGCTTACGACTGTTGTGTCATCTGCAAACTTGATGATTGAGTTGGAGACGTGCTTGGCCACGCAGTCATTGGTGAACAGGGAGTACAGGAGGGGGCTGAGCACACACCCTTGTGGGGCCCCAGTGTTGAGGATCAGCGAAGTGGAGATGTTGTTCCCTACCTTCACCACCTGGGGGCGGCCCGTCAGGAAGTGCAGGACCCAGTTGCACAGGGCGGGGTTCAGACCCAGGGCCTCGAGCTTAATGATGAGCTTGGAGGGTACTATGGTGTTGAATGCTGAGCTATAGTCAATGAACAGCATTCTTACATAGGTATTCCTCTTGTCCAGATGGGATGGGGCAGTGTGCAGTGTGATGGCGACTGCATCGTCTGTGTATCTATTGGGGCGGTATGCAAATTGGAGTGGGTCTAGGGTGACAGGTAAGGTAGAGGTGATATGATCTGGGCCGGCAGCCTTGCGGGGGTTAACATGCTTAAATGTCTTAATCACGTCGGCCATGGAGAAGGAGAGGCCACAGTCCTTGGTAGTGGGACTCGTCAGTGGCACTTTGTTATCCTCAAAGCGGGCGAAGAAGGTGTTTAGCTTGTCTGGAAGCGAGACGTCGGTGTTGGCGACGTGGCTGGTTTTCCTTTTGTAGTCCGTGATTGTCTGTAGACCCTGCCACATACGTCTTGTGTCTGAGCCGTTGAATTGCAACTCCACTTTGTCTCTATACTGATGTTTTTCCTGTTTAATTGCCTTGCGGAGTGAGTAGCT